AATGCCTTCCCTCCTAACTTCTTGTTAGCTTGGCACTCTTAAGAATAGCAATAGCACTTACTTATAAACCGCTTCACGGTGCTTTTACAGCCCCCTCAAAGCAGTTTTTACAAAGTCAGCCTATTGTCCTCAACAATCTGGGTCCTAGTGAGACTTGAACTGCCAAATTGCAGTCAGCAGAAATAGCCTACAGTACTGCACTCTAACCACTGCGCCACTGTGGCTCAAGAATAATTCTTAGGATGGATTCTTTTCTATTTGTTAAATGTCAGATTCTGAAAGCAGGGAAGAATTTCATATAAGATGCCAAAAATCTTGCGGATGGAGGCACCTCCTAAAAAATAATGCCACCCCATGAACTGAACTTAGTAACTATGAAGCATGCATGTTGAAGGACATGGTAAATAAATGATTGCCACTAAATGGAAATATTAAACAGCTATGCTATGAAACCAACCTTGGCAGGAGTATCTCAAGAGGAATTCCTTTTTCACGTTAACAAAGTCTTTTACTGGAACACTGTGCGTTAAATGAATATATAGTATCCGTGTCTTTGTAGCTATACTGCTGGTTACTTAGTGCAAACCACTTAGAAAATGTGCTTGCTGACATCCCTTAATGTACTCCAATGCTAGGTTTTAGAGGAATAATTAGATTGCCAGCAGAAAATTATAACTTGATATTCAAAACCATGATTCTCTCCCCCAACCCTTCTATTCAATCATGTATGATTCTCAGAGACTGTCTGGACAAATTTCTGCAGGTTTCTGGTTTTCAGAAGTTGTTTGTCATTTCCTCCTTCCTAGGGCTCAGAGAAAGTGACTGGCCTAAGGTCAGGAAGGTGGATTTGTGTTTAAGATGAAACTAGAATTCACAATCTCCTGGTTTCTAAACAGATGCTTAATCACTGCACCAAACTGCTACATGAACTTACATGAACGTATTGCCTTGGCGATTCATCTGTTACCTTGGTATTTGGGGGCAAAATAGTTAGGACATAGCAATAGCACTTATATACCACTTATATACCACTTCACAGTGCTTTACAGCCCTCTCTAAGAGGTTTACAGATTTAGCCTATTGCCCCCAACAATCTGGGTCCTCATTTTACTGACCTGGGAAGGATGAAAGGCTGAGTCCAGCTTGAGTTGCTCAGGATTAAACTCCTGGCAGTCAGGAGAATTATCCTGGGATAACCACTGTGCCACTATAGCTCTACCGACATAGCTAACACTATTTTGACCAAACCAATAAGGGGTGGGAGCTTAAAAGAGTAAGGAAAAGACTATTGAATTAAAAGAGCTTTTTTTAAATGAGATTTTCTGATGATAAGTTGAAGAATCTTAAGGCATACAATGCACACGAAGAGATTGCAACCCATCCATTGTTGTGATAGTCAGTCTTTCTCTCTCTGTCTCTTTGTCTCTCTCTCTCTCTCTCCCTCCTTCCCTCTCTTCTCCCTTTCCCTCTCCACCATAATATGGTAAAGGCCCTAGAAAAATTAATGAGACTTAGTGGTTTTGGAGATAATTTACCCATTTTCATCATTGCTAGGACAGAGAATATCAGAAAATGTGATACAATAAAAAAAGGTTCATACATACACAAGATTGCAAAGCTGTTCTCCCAACAATTTCCCCCTAATGGATTTAAGTATGAAACTCACTGAAGGAATAGTAAGGGATGGAAAGGAAAGTCAATGGTCACTTTTACTATCTGGATTTTATCAGCCGGATTTTACCAGTTTAACACCAAGCTTGAGTTTTTACCCACATGCAAGTTGAAGAGCTCTTGAGACTTAATTCAAGAAAGATAATTTCTTTTTTCTTAAAGAATATATGGTCTATTTTCAAAATATATATGAAGCAGACAAGGGGAATTTCAGATGTTTAGCTGTACAATGTGTATAAACATGTATAATGGGACATCATTATACACTTTTCCACATTTTTGTTTATACCATTTCTATCAAGTCTGTCAATATTATTTAGTTTAGTTCATCTCACATGGAGTAACCCTAACAGTCACAATAGGTCTTTTGGATTGGGAATCAAGAATGCATTGATGTAAAATAGCAAAACAAATCCTTATCTTTTTCTTTCTTAAAAAAAAAAGTCAGTAGTTTAAAAATGGCAAAAACTAAAAAAAAAAAAAAGGAGATAATCAATGGCTTGATATAGTTTGAAATCTGCCAACCATAGGAGATGACCAGTTGAAATTGAGGGAGAAGTCAAGGTCATCATCAGTCCAGATCCCCTTCGCACACACAAGAAATGTAATTTCAGACTTCCTTGAATTCTATTGACTCTTACTTATCACCGATTTGCCTTAATAGTTAGTAGTTTAGATTCTTGTTTAGAGGTAAAGGTAAAGGTTCCCCTTGGACATATGTGCTAGTCGTTTCGGGCTCTAGGGGGCAGTGCTCATCTCCATTACAAAGCTGAAGATCCAGCGCTGTCTGAAGACATCTCCATGGTCATGTGGCTAGCATGACTAAATGCTGAAGGCATACAGAACACTGTTACCTTCCCACCAAACTGGTCCCTATTTTTCTACTTGCATTTTTACATGCTTTCGAACTGCTAGGTTGGCAGAAGCTGGAACAAGTAACGGGAACTCACTCCATCATGCGGTGCTAGGGATTTGAACTGCCAAACTGCCAACCTTTCTGATCGACAAGCTCAGTGCCTTAGCCACTGAGCCACCGCATGGTACCACCATGTGGCAGCATGGAATAAACTTGTACTCATTTGAACAATCCTGGTTTCTGATTTCCAGCCGGCATTAAAAATCTCACTCCGTTTAAGGAAATGGAAGAAATTATACTATGTATTTCATGTAGAATATCGCCCCCCTCTTTGTTTTCTAGGTATTGTGCTATTTGATTCCAACATAAAAATGAAGAACGTTATCTTTCTGCTTTCTTCTCATCCATCCATCCATTCACCCAACCAGCTACGATCTAAGCATTCCATTGTGCTTATACAAATGTCATTCAAAGAAAAAACGTTACTTATATGCTTTTATAAGAATCCAACGAAGAACAACATATAGGAAAGTGTGCGCAAGAGAAAAGTGAGCAAAAGTACAGTGACTAAAAAACGGTCATAATGGAGGGTGAAAGGAGGAACACCACAGTGTTGTCCATAAAACCAGATCAAAGTGTGTACGATGAGACACCAATACATTTTATAGCCCACAATGCTAAAAAAACAAAACAGAAATGCATTAAGACCATCGTGAGCCCTAAGAACATTTATTTTTGGATTAATAGTCTTCTTAGGGTTATAAAAATATTCCCTAGTTCTATAGGCCTCAAGAAGTCACAGAAAATAACATAATAAAAGTAATAATGGTATCTTAAATATATTTAATCTCAGGATATAGGCTTTTTGGTTTGTTTTTCTGTTACTTTTCGGATTTTTGATTGAGCCTAATATATTTCCACCGGCCCCAGACACTCTGCCTAGTATGCCTAAGTGATAACGCGACCACTAAAGGGAAACATGTTAAAATATTCAGATAATCTGAGAGCGCATCCAGGAGGGCGTTAATCCGAGTAGGCCAATGCGTGCCGATGTGAACAAATGAGTACGCTTGATAAAAGAACAAGGACTTTCCAGGTGTCAGTTCAAGTGTAATTTTTTTTTTTTTTTGTTATTAAACATGGGTTGCAACAGAAGCTGCTACAAGGACTTGCACACAACCAGGACGGATGGATGGATTTGTCTGCCGTTCAGTTAGCTCCATCAATTCACTCAAGACACATTTTGAACAGATTATGTACTGTAAAACTCGGGAGACCCATACATTTTACAAGAGAATTTGCTCTGAGGCTCTGCTTCCCACACTCTGCATGGAAAAGGGGTGGAGAAGGAAGAAAGAGAGGACAAAACTCATAGAGTTTGACAGCTACGGAGGCAACACTTGCCATTTACATTATAAGCCCAAATATTTTTTTTTTTTGCAACACAACTATATATTAATTTAATAAAATACACAATATAGCTCTTATACACTCAACAATTTGGCTCAAATGCACTGAATCTGCAATAAATCAAGAAAAAAAAATATGTCATTTGATGTAAACACATTGAATCTTCTTACATTTGCACATTTAAATGGTTTGGGTGAAGGTTTGGAATGTCTGCACTCGAGCTATCGTAGTGTCCATAAATGAATTACAAAAGGTGTTAATAATGTTAATTTGTCTCCGCTACCATTTCCCGTGTAACGGAAATTGAAGCGGCCATCTTGTATTGTGCCTCAGATATAAAACATAGTTACCTCAACTCTTGCTAGACACTAACTCCTTCCCTTTCTTCTCTGATCACATTAATTCATTTATGTATGTGCAGGACAAACATGGACTCGATCCGTTTACATTTAACTTTAATATGACATGAGCTGTGTTAATAATGATCGGGGGTACTTTTTGCTGAATGAAGTTATGGAATGGATTAGGAAGGGTTTCCATATTGTTTTTTTTTCCTTTTCATTTCTTTCTTTCTTTTTTTTCAGGATGTAGCAGATGCCTTTATATAGAAATGCCTATCACAAATGAAGGTTAATGGTTTGTGTACTTGGTTGTCTGACTACAAGAACATTTGTTTGTATGTTTATTGGATCTCTAATTGGGGATTTTCCATAGAAATCTCTAATGACTGTTGTAAACTTATCACACAACTATCCCACCCTGATTTTTATGGGGTCTACAGGTAAACAGTGAAATCAACATTAACTATCAGTCCTAAAAGATCTGTTTCCATTTATCTTACTCCTTTCTCTTCGATTGTCAGTGACCCCAATCTATCTACATTTCTTTCTTTCTTTCTTTCTTTCTTTCTTTCTTTCTTTCTTTCTTTCTTTCTTTCTTTCTTTCTTTCTTTCTTTCTTTCTTTCTTTC